GAAGCTCTGTGGACGGCCTTCTGTCCAGCATCCTCCGTCTTCAGGGTGATTTTCATCATCTGGATGCTGTGGTTGCCGGGCAGATTCGACCCGGCCAGCTCAGGTGTGTCGGCATCAAACTGGTCGAGCTGAACCTCGATGCAGCTCAGGTTCCACCTGTGCAGCAGCACCTCGATCGACCAGTCGGCGCTGAAACACACGAAGAAGAAGCTGTGACCTCTGTTTGCTGCAGCTGTTTGTCATCAGTTGGAGAAGAGATCCGGTATCGAACCCTCAGGCTACGTGTCTGACTTTGTGACGGCGCCTTTGGCTCCTTCTTAACCAAAATAGGACTTTTTCAACACAAAACACTAAATAACTGCAACCGAGTGTTTATTTTCATGATTACGTACAATTAGTCCGGTGACTTCATGTCATTTTGCACATTTAATGAAATATATTTTCAAAATGGACTAAAAAGAATAAAAAAAGAGTAAATAAGGTCATTTTTGTTGGTGTAATGAAGGATGTTCCTGGAGCGCACATTATTATGAATAAGATCACATTTTGGGTGTTAGCGTGAGCTCCTTACGTGACTGTGTTACACTACAGAAGTAGTGTAAAGATGAAAATGAAAAATGTGATTGTTTACGTCAGTGATTCCTGAGCTGCTGCCCCCTGGTGGGCAGTGGAAGAACAAATTATTTAAAATATCTAAATACATTAAAATGATTCAAATGGTAGTTTTGAATTATCATAATCATTTTTAAAAGAACATTTTTAAATCTCATGCCACTTTCTGATCACTGACATCACACAGACTGGGTCTGAGGCTCGTGTGGTGATCAGAGCGATGAAGGTTTTCGTCCACAGACTCAAACGCCCACAGAGGAGCAGTCGTACCTTCGTACTTGGTACGTCGTCCAGAACTCGGCTTTGGGGTTTTTTCTCAGCAGGAAAAAAACGGTCACAAGGACGTCTTCAAAATCTGTAACAGGCAACAACTCGTCATCCTCCATAAACAATGTTTGTACAATCGTTTTACATCCTGGTGCATCAACAGGAAATAGATTTCACATTTCCAAACGTCCTCAAAGAAAACCAGTCGAGTCAGATACGAGTGTGATTTTAGAGAAGCTGATACAGGAGCAGAGCTCTTTATAAACAGTGGAGTAATATTAATAACTGCACTTTGTTCTTCCCTGATAACACAGACGATGGACTCGGTCCAGGAGGTGACTGAGCTGTTTCACACCTGACTTACAAACACGCCCGGCTTCACTGAAATATCAACCGAACAATTTAAAACTACATAAAAATAATGAAGAAATACCAAACTATGACGTCTACGCTACGTCCAGATGAACAGAATCAACTTTTGGAGACAAAACTATGATAACTCTGCTTCAGATGCCTTTATTTTATTTAATACAGCTGACCTTTGACCTACATTCAAGTCAACTATAACAACATTGTCAAAATCAAAAACACGTTTTTAGAACATTTCTATCAATCAGGTTTGAAAGCGTGACGCCGTCTGAATACTTTGTTTTGCTTTCTGACAGGAAAATGTGCTGCGAACCTTCGGGATCGTAGAAGACGTCTGAGCCCAGGATGACGTCCAGCT